AAAGGGAGTAAGAGTAGGGGACAGGGAAACGTCGGTTTCAGGAACGCTGTTTGCGAATGATTTTGTCGGTATGTCGGACACCCCTGAGGGACTGCAACTGCAAATTGACGCGGCGAAGAAGTTTACTGATAAGTGGAGATTGTCTGCCAACGTTAAGAGATCGCAAAAGACTGCTCGTGGAATGCACACATGTCCAAGGTAGCGGAAAAGGGCAAAGCACGAGCAGGGAAGCTGCACCCAATACTCGCAAACCGGCACCTCGATACACGCATCAAAATGACGGTTTTGAAGAGCGTAATCGTACCGCCGCTAGCGTACGCCGGAGAGGTATGGGAAGGAAATAAGAAGGTGATGAAAGAACTCGAGGCGGCGCAGATGAAAGCAGCAAAAATCTCCCTAGGATGCTCCAGGCGCACAAGTAATGCAGCCGTCAGGGCAGATTTGGGGATCCAATCCCTACGGTCGGGAAGAGACGCGAGGAAGCTGACCTGGCAGTATCGCATGTGCGGGATGGGAGAGGAGAGGTTGCCGAGAATTGTATGGGAGGCGAAGTGGGCAAACAAAAAGAGGGGTAGACAACCCACGGAATGGGTCAAGGTTGTAGAGGACGTATGGAAGGGGCTCGACATCGACGAAGATGAAACGCCGGAAACGGAGGGTCTACAGGGGTCCAAGGAGAAGAAATCTGTTGCTTGTGCCAGGAGAGAAGAACATAATCTAAGTAAAGAACCAAGGATAAGGGTCTAGAAGTGAACGGAATGTTTGAGGAAGGAACAGGGTTCAAGGATTACCTACATGGACCAATGGATGCAGGAACAAAGCTTAAGGTCAAATTCAGGACCGGGGACATAGGCCTTCGAGAACGTCGACGAAGACATAGGACGGTAGACGACGAAGACGACGAGTTCAAATGTGATTGCGGCTTCGAATGCGAAGACCGTGTTCATGTAGTCGCGGAACGTCCGTGGTACAAGAATGAGAGGGACGTGTACGTGACTGAGCTGGGAAAAATAGATGGGACGTAAAGGGAGATGTTTGAGGCATGGAAGAGAGGGGAAAGGACGGTAGCTGTTGTGGGGCATAGGAGGTGGGATGAAAAGGCAGGAGGAGATATCGTTAGGATAGACAGACTAAGTTAGTAGTGTTCGTGTGTTTGGATACGGACTGGTTAGATCTAGCGGCAACAACAGAGGGCACGCAGATGGGGCATATGTACACCTTGAAATGGTTGCATGTGCGGGGACACCTCGAACTCCAAAGAGGGCTTCACTTCTCCTTACTCCCCCTGCGTGTCTAATACAAGAGATAAAACGTCTTCCCTTTCCAAGTAAAGGACATATACGAACACACTAGTGTCAGTCCCTCGAGGGAGAGTCCATTAGGAATGTCAGGTCGCAAAGATCGGGGTGACTCCTACAGCGACTCTGCGGCGGAAGACAGAAGTTAGCTCACTGACGGATCAGATGAGCCAGCTAATGTCGCTAGTGGAAGATACCATGAAGGCAAGCAAGAAGGAGGAGCCAGCTGGCATCATGGAGGGTTCCGATGATCGCGGCGATGCTAGGGAGAGCGCCGCCGCGGAGTCCACGAACGCCGAAGGAAGGGCACCGTGGACCGGGAGTGCGCAGGACGGGAGGTACCTGCGCGAACCTGTTCGAGAGTCTGGCCCGCCCGGGCGACACAGCGATGAAGCAGGGGGCCTTGTCCCCCAAGACGCGAGAGGAGCCGCTGCTCACAACCAAGATTATAGTTGTGCCACGGGAGATGGTGGTGCTGCTCTTGGCTTTGGATACGGAGCCACAACCCCAGCGACGGGGTACCAACGTGTGCGTTACACTTCTCCTCCGTTCAGCGGGAAATCGAAAGATTTCAACGAATGGCTAAATGATTTCCGCATGGCAGCTAATGGCGCAAACCTGTTGGAACAATTTGAAGAGAGCGGGAGCTTGGAGATCCCCGTCAACAGCGGAAAGAGCAAGTTTTCGCCGTTACAGCAGTACCGGAGCGCGCAAGTAGAGCTCGCATTCCACGCGTGGAACTTCCTGTCTCACGCGTTGAAAGAAAAAGATCGGAAAATCATGAAGAGGGCAGAGACGCCCCAGGGAGCTCTTCGTGAGCTCAAGACCATACACGACCCTGAATCATTTGTACAGCCGTCAGAGGACCTCAAGTCCCTGACGTCGACCAAGACCTCTAGAGGTGTACACCCCCAAAACGCCCTCAATGAGATGCTCCAAACCGCAACGTCCTTAACCGAGAAAGAACTAACTGTCAACGAAACGTTCGTCCTTCACCTCTTCCTGGATGCCCTTTAAAAAGTGCGCGACGGAGAAGGCCGTCCTAGCGCAAGTGGTGGAGCATGAGAGCGACGTGGACTCTTGTGGAAGACCAGGCGTTTTGTGCCGTGGCAGTCCCCCCAGGCGAGTGTGGTACCGTTGGTGAAGTAGGTCTAGTGGGGGTTGTGGGACAAGGCCAGGCGGTGTACGTGGCCGACACAGCGGCCACGTGCTCCATGTTCCGATGTGCAGACAACTTCGTGAACTACCGTGAGCGTAGCGGTTGGGTGAAGGGGATCGGAGGCGACAAGGCCCCCGTTCCTCTTCTAGGATACGGAGATGTGACCTTAGTCCTACAGACGGAAGATGGTGGAGTACCCGTACCAGTACTGAATGCTGCCCATGTACCAGAGGCCCCCTACAACCTCCTCTCGCTGTCTTCGTTGGCGGAGGAGGGCCACACGTATTCGGGGATGAAGGGGGGCCTCACGCTGACCACGCAAGCCGGGGGGGAGGTGTGGTTCCCTCGGACGGGAAAGCTGCTGACCCAACGAGGCTATCAAATACAGCCAACGCTACACACCGTCTGTGCCGCACTCATTGTTCCTGGCGATGCGAAAGCAGCCACCCCAACTGACCTCAACGAGTACCACCTCGCGCACGGCCATGCCCACGAGACATTGCTCAGGATCACGGCGGAGCAGCAGGGAGTGCAGCTGACGGATGGACCGCTGCTACCCTGTCTTGGCTGTTCGATGTCCAAGAGACAGGTGAAACCCGTCCAGAAGAGCACGAGCACGCGCGCAGTAAAGAAGTTATTTCGCGTGTATCTCGACTTGGGGGGAAAGATGAAAACCAGGAGCATTGGTGGCAACTGGTACACACTGATCATCAGAGACGATTTCTCCCGTTGGACGCGTGCGTGTTTTCTCCTTGAAGCACAAGTCTGACGCAGCGGTTGGGTTTGAGAAATTCCTGGCGGACTACCGAACGAAAGGGGTTCCGTGTGAGGTTTATATCGCACGTAACGACGGTGGCGGCGAGTTTCAGGGGTAGTTTGCGAAAGTTCGCAGCAGACACGGCATCAAACAAGAGTTCACCTCCCCTCACATCCCAAAATACAACGGTGTAGCGGAGAAATCGCTACGGTTGATCACTGATGCCACGCTTGCGTCACGCATCCAAGCGACGCAACTGCTCCCCGACGCACCGAACCACCCCGGGTTGTGGGCCGAAGTCATTTCGTGAGCATGCCATCAGCTAAACTGCACCGCCGCTAAATCAAGCGAGGGAGACAAATCCGCCGACGAGATGTTCCACGACTCCCCACCGCCTGTCGGGTCTACATACCCGTTTCTCAAACCAGCCGTGTTCAAGTCGAGAAGAAAAGCAAAGTCGCAACCCAAAGGCGAAAAAGGACGGTACCTTGGTCCTGCCCACAATCACCCCCGTGACTGCGTTCGCATGCTAACCGAAGCTGGAACCGTAATCACCACCCGCAATTCACCTGGCGCCACGTGCCAGCTGCATCGCTCGCTCCCCCGCAGCTGCTACCTCTCGCAGATGACGAGGAGGGAGGGGAGGGCGAGAGCAGAGCGGGTGCATCACGCCATGGTTGGGGGGGGAGAGAGACTCAGAGAGTGAGTCCGACCTCGACGTGATGGAGGCTCGTGCGCCAGGGCAAGTGACGCCGTTTGTGCGCGAGGAGGCGCCGACGGCACCCGGCAACGGGATTCCGGGGGACGGAGGCAGCGTTCCCCCGTCGCCCCCTTCGGGAAGGGGCGATTTCGGCGGAGGCAGTGACAGCCCCACCGACAGCCCCACCGACAGCAGCAGCAGCAGCAGCAGCAGCAGCAGCAGCCCGAGCAGCAGCAGCAGTGACGCCGGCGGTGCCGGCGGCCCGGGCGGCGAAGAGTCCAGCGACCCAGGTGGGGACGGCGGTAGCGGTGGTGATCCCGGCGACTCCGAGAACCTCGAGGAGATGAAGTATGATCCAGCCGACGACCGCTCCCCCCGCGGACTAGAAGGGAAAAAACTCCACTGGGGCGCCTCGAACGCTGGCCCGCTGCGCCATGGGCTTGAGAGTGGCCGCACGCGGAGGCAGACCCGGGAGATGCAAGGTGCCCGGGAGATGCCGGGGCCCGGAGAAACACCGGACCCGGAAGACGCATTGCTGGCGACCATCCTGGAAACTGGCGGGACGGGGATTGTTGAGGACTACATCTGTAACTCGCTTGTGAAGGAGCAGTGGGACGAGGAGCAGACACGCCGTATGGAGGAAATGCACAGGCGCGAGATGCAGGAGGTGTTGGGCCCGGAACAGCAGGCGTTCGGAGCCGAGGTCGACGCCAGCGGGTCTTCGCAACCACTCCCAGACCCACAGCCAAGTATGACCTCGCATATCGGGCAGAAGCCGAGTGATGTGGAAGCAGTACCGATGACGTACAAGGATGTATATGTTTTCCAAGTACAAGGTTTTCTGTGAGGCGGCCATGAAGAAAGAGATAGATGGCCACGACAAGACTGGAACCTTTACCAAGGTCAAGGAGCTGCCCGAGGGGCGGAAGGCCATAGGTTCAAAGTGGGTGTTCTCTTGGAAGACGAATGAGAAGGGCCTGATAGTCGACTTCAAGTCCCGTATGATTGCGCGGGGTTTCTCTCAAATCCCCGGCATCGACTTCCACCACTCATTCTCAGCGTGCCCGTCTGCAGCGTCTATCAAGACGGTGATTGCCGTAGCCACTGAAATGGGCAAGAAACTCGCTCACTGGGATGTGAAGCAAGCGTACATCCACGCTAAGCTAAAAGAAGAAACATGCCTCAGGTTCCCGGAAGGCTATGGTAACATGTCCGGCAAGGTGGTCAAGGTTGAGCGTGCCCTGTATGGCCTAAAGCAGAGTGGCCGTGAATGGGGGTTTGAAGCTGCCGGTGCCCTCATAGAGAATGGATACGAGCAGTGCAGGGTTGACCCGTGTGTCTTCCGGAAGGTGGTGGATGGAGAGGTCGTAAGTCTCATCGTGATCTACGTTGATGACATCTTAGTAGTGGCAGACGAGGGAGAGCGAGAGGAGTTGTTCGCTTCCCTCAACAAGAAGTTTCCCGTGGAAAGTCTGGGGGAGTACACCTGGTACGACGGGTGTGCTATCGCCATGGATGTAGAAAATGGCATCACCAAGCTGTCCCAGACAGCATACATTGAGAGTATGCTGAAGCGGTTTGATGTGACCACGACCGCTTTCACCCTTGCTGCCACCGATGCCGACCTAGGGCCGAAGAGAGATGACGAGCCCGCGGTGGATAAGCCTGTGAGGGAGGTGATCGGATGCCTGATGTGGACGAAGCTGACGAGGCCGGCCATCGCCCTGCCTCTGAACAAGCTCCAGAAGATCGCACACTCACCCACCGGGAGGATATGGAACGCGCTTGTGCGGATCATGTCCTACCTGAACTTCACGAAGGACTTCGGCATCACCTACGTACGGGGGTCAGGACTAGACCTAAGCGTGTTTGTCGATGCCAGCTACGCTGGAAACGAAGTAGACAGGCGTTCTACGACCGATCTAGCTGTGACCGTAGGTGGTACCGTAGTGTGTACATCCACCAAGACGCAGCCAGTGACGGCTCAGTCGACCTCGGACGCAGAGTATATGGCAGCCGGGGAAGGCGTGAAGGAGGCGTTGTTGTGCGTGGCGTTCTGTCGTTCATAGCGCCCAAGACGAGTGGGGCGAAGATCAAGGTCCTTGAGGACAACAAGGGGGCTCTCGCCTTAATCGAGGACCCGTTCAGCTCAGCGAGGAGCAAGCACATCGACGTGCGGTTCCATTTCATTCGCGAGCTATTCAAGTCGGGCAAGATCACTGCAGAGTATGTTCCGACTGGAGAGCAGCACGCCGACATGCTGACCAAGGTCCTTGGCAGAGAGAAGTTAGAGTACCACCGGAAGGCTCTGATGAACCTACCGATGGAGTGTTCTCTTGTTCTGTTTGGTTTATGTGGTGGTTTNTCGGGCAAGATCACTGCAGAGTATGTTCCGACTGGAGAGCAGCACGCAGACATTCTGACCAAGGTCCTTGGCAGAGAGAAGTTAGAGTACCACCGGAAGGCTCTGATGAACCTACCGATGGAGTGTTCTCTTGTTCTGTTTGGTTTATATGGTGGTTTTAGCACTTGGCATATATGACCATGGTACGTCACGCAGGAAGCGTTGTGCCGGCGCGTCACCCGCGGCTGGAGCCTAGAAACGCCGAGAGCGTTGCTTCGAGCGTGTTATCAGCGTGACCGGTTCAATCTGTCCTGCCTGGGTCTTGTCTTGGAAGTGCGGCCGTTGGAATCCTCCGTGATAGCGCCGGTTTTCTAAATCTAGGGTGTTAACGAGGGTNGGCGCGTCACCCGCGGCTGGAGCCTAGAAACGCCGAGAGCGTTGCTTCGAGCGTGTTATCAGCGTGACCGGTTCAATCTGTCCTGCCTGGGTCTTGTCTTGGAAGTGCGGCCGTTGGAATCCTCCGTGATAGCGCCGGTTTTCTAAATCTAGGGTGTTAACGAGGGTTTTTTATCCGGTTGGCCGGGTTTTCCCTCGAGCCTGTTGTTGTTTTGAGTCCCTTTGGTAGAGTAGGGGTATCCATGCCCCACGTTAGGTTTGCCATTCGCGTGCCAACCGGGGAGGGTGTTCGTGTGTTTGGATACGGACTGGTTAGATCTACCGGCAACAACAGAGGGCACGCAGATGGGGCTTATGTACACCTTGAAATGGTTGCATGTGCGGGGACCCCTCGAACTCCAAAGAGGGCTTCACCTCTCCTTACTCCTCTTGCGTGTCTAATACAAGAGATAAAACGTCTTCCCTTTCCAAGTAAAGGACATATTCTAACAAGTAGCCCATCACAGCTATAGTATTATATTTTGTATGAAGTAACAATCTTTTTCGGCGCCGAATGTTCACCCATGAACTATCATCTCAAACCTATCAAACAACTACCTGGTAACAAGGCCTATGTTTGTGTTACTTGGATATGAGTCCGATCTATGCATCCTCTGTGGGGGTTACGCGTATGGGAAGTATAGGTGTGATGGGTATGTATACGGTTGGGGTCCAACTGCGGGGCCTCCGGGTGAGCACACGGCGGTTGTGTTGTTGTTGTTGTTTCTCACATTAGCTCTTAAGTCTAGTCCACAAAAAATGGGGAGCCCGTGGTTACAAAACCCGGCATAGACGCCGCGGGGAAACAAAACAAAAATAGGGTACAAACCACTCGGAAAAAGAAAACAAAATGATGGAAAGAAAAGAACAGGTATCGCTCCGACCGTTCGAGAAAAGAGCCCTCGGAAACCGATCAAAATAAAACAAAAACAAAAATAAAGGACGCTTCCCACACCCGCCTAAAGAAAAAATCAAAGGGTATCGGACCAGCACCAGGCACTACGCACCAGGGCATGGGAGTAACGGAGCAAACAGGACAAAGAGGCGGCCGATGGGCAGACAGCCAGACGTACGAAAACAAAGGCAACAGCAAAAGCGAGATCAAGGTACCCATCACAGCAGAGTAGGCAGGGAGGTCATAAAAACGAAACACAGCACAGAGGCTGAAGGCAATACGAAGGACATACAAAAAGGAGTATAGCACACAGCAGGGAGGGAAACAGGGCGCAACAACATCAGCCGGGTACATGGTTCGCCACAAGTGCTGCCTCGGCTACCCTACTCGCTTCAACAGCATTGCTCGGTCGCCGTTTCTTCCCCCCCACCGCCGCTTCCCCGACTCTCTTTCTCTTCGGTCCTGAGATGGCCGTACTCTCTGCTTCTGCTTCCCTCGCGCGCTGGCGCTTCGCGGACGCTTCCGCCTCCTGCCTGTGTCATTTCCCCATGAACCATGACGCCCCGTCCTCGACCTGGTTGTACCACACCTCTGGGTCCTTGGCGCTCTCTTTCCATTTACCCCCTTCCTTTTCATCTCCCATGTTGAAGGCCACGAGGTCCTCNGCCTGTGTCATTTCCCCATGAACCATGACGCCCCGTCCTCGACCTGGTTGTACCACACCTCTGGGTCCTTGGCGCTCTCTTTCCATTTACCCCCTTCCTTTTCATCTCCCATGTTGAAGGCCACGAGGTCCTCGCGATGTGCTCCCGGCACTCACTTGCCTGAGGGGCTTGCTTGTTGGTGACCCGCTTGCCTGACTGAGGGGCTTGCGTGACGGACATATAGTCTAATACATGGTCATTTTCATCTGCTGTTCCTTGGGATAACATAGCACCCAGTCTCAACACCACAGGCCGCTGAGGGCGGCAGTGCACACTAACACGATACATCGTGTGTGGATCCTAGCTAGGCCAGGTGTTGGTTCGGCGATGACGAGGGTATGAGAGCATTTTATGGAGCTGAGGGCTCGGAGCGTTTTTGTGGGGATGGCGGCAGGCGGTCCCAACCAAGAGTGATTTTACGAGGGATGAAAGAACGAAGAGCATCGGCGGCAACGGCGAACGCGCCGATGAGTTGCGGCAGCGGAAGCTCCAGCATGTGTGCGGGGCCGATGTAACAGCAGCAGCAGCAGCAAGGTATGGGTTCACTCGCGATTGGAGGAATGTCGATGTGGCTGGGGGGTTTAATGTCGGCAGTGAGCCGAGGAGATTTCACGGGCCTCCTCAGTTCGATCGGTGGGGGCGTTCTGGACACATCAGCATCAAATGCCTGGCACCAAACCACGAAATGATCTACTGGAAGTACAACCGATTTCACGGGCCTCCTCAGTGCGATCGGTGCGGGCGTTCTGGACACGTGAGCATCAAGTTCCTGGCACCGAACCACGAAATGATCTACTGGAAGTACAACCGATTTCACGGGCCTCCTCAGTGCGATCGGTGCGGGCGTTCTGGACACGTGAGCATCAAGTTCCTGGCACCGAACCACGAAATGATCTACTGGAAGTACAACCGACCTGGACCGTTTCAGCAGCAGCGGAGGAACGGCGAGTTTGGCGGCGGGTCTGTGTGACAGCAGCAGCAGCAGCGGCAGCAGCAGCAGCCAGACGTGGTGTACGGCGGTGACTCTCAGCAACAGCCGCGGCAACAACAGCTTGCGGACGGCTTCACCGGGGGTGCAGGTGGACAGGTGAGTGGTGGGGTGTTCGTTGGTGAGAAGGGGGGGTAGGCTGCTGCCGGTTCGTCTGCGTTGTATTTGCCGGCAAAAGCCCCCGCCAACGTCGCTTCTCTCAACGTAAACACACTCTCCACCACTCGCACTCCCGAGCGGCCCGCAACATCACGTGTAGCACCTGCAGTAGTGCGGCAACGCGATGAGCTGGATCTCATGGAGGGCGGATACAGCAGTAGACGTGTAGCGGAGGAACACATGCTTGGGTCGTATCACATTTTTGTAGTTTCATTGTCCGCAGAATCACAACAACCCAAGCATTCGTCGGAAGCGGCAGAAGCAGCAGCGTCGTCCCTGGTCGCCGCGTTGGTGCAGGGTACTTAGACGGACGCAGCGGCGATGGCGGCGGCGTCGGTGACGGGGGGAACGGCAGCGGCAGCAGCAGCTGCGGCGTCCCCGGTCGCCGCGTGGGCGTCGGGTATCTAGACGCCCGCAGCGGCGGCGGTAGCGAAATCGGTGACGGGAGGAACGGCAGCGGCGACAGCAGCAGCCGCGTCCCCGGTCGCCGCGTTGGCGTCCGGTGTCCAGACGGCCGCAGGGGCGGCGGCGGCGGCACCGGTGACGGAGGTATGCGACGAAGAGTTGGAGGAAGCGGTTGGTGCGACAACGACGCCGTTGCCAGTCCTGGAGGAGCTCGATAGCCAACGTGCTGGGGTGGACGTGAGCAACAGCAGCAGCAGCAACAGCAGTAGCCGCAGCTGCAGCAGCGAGGACAGCGGCGGCGATGGGAACGGGGACGAGGGGTTGGATGACATCTGGAGTGGAGCCCCGGCGCACCCTTTCGACCCCGGGAAGGCTGAGGGGGCCGTGAGCAGCAGCAGCAGCAGCAGCAGCAGCAGCGAGGAAAGAGGCGGTGATGGGAGCGGGGATGAGGGGTTGGATGAAACCTGGAGTGGAGCCTCGACGCACCCCTTCGACCCCGGTAAGACATCTTCGTGTGGCGCGATGAGACGGGGGGCGGTACCAGGGTTGGTGTACCCCTTCGATAGGGGCAGGAACGGGAGTGGCAGCTCCGGCGGTGACACTGGCGGCAGCAGGAGCAGCGACGGGAGTGGTGGCTTCGGCCAGAGCTCCGACGGCAGCACCAGACGGCAGCGGCGGCTTTGGCCAGAGCCCCGTCGGCGGAAGCGGCGACAACGGCGGCGGTGTAGAGGCGGCAGCAGCGACGTCACCGGCAGCCGTGTTGGCGCTGGAACTCATGACTGTCGTGGCGGCGGGGGAACGGCAACGGCGGCGATGGCAGCGGCGGCAGCAGCGGTGGCGCCCTCGAGTCGACCGGGAACGGGGAGGACACGGTGACAGCGACGACCTCACCTTGTTACAGCCATGTGGGAGAACATGTGAAAGGTTTACGAGTTTGTTCGGTTTTGGGAGCAGACATGGACGTGTTAGCTTCGCCATAAGGCTTCACATATTTTTTTTTAAGTTCTGTTTTTCCCTTGCTAGCGCACCGTGGGCAATGATGCAGACAACACGTGTGTGCCACAGCGTGGGCATATTAATATACATATATTTGTATGTGTGCATATTTATATTTATATATATATATTTGTACTTGTCTGCATGATAATTGTACGCTGCTACAGGATCAGCATTGTCACAACCTGTGGAATAGGAAACAACACCTGGGCATATATATATTTCCTTGATTCTTGGTATGTTTTCAGTCGCGTTTCACCTTGCAGCTGAATGCCTCATATTATTTCCGTACTATATGGAGGGAAGTTGGCCGCGCTCACGAAATGGGATGATAGCGCGTTGTTTGACACGCATGAAGGCATACCGCTCAGGGAACAGGGGGCCTTTTGGAGTTCCAGTTGAACAAACCAACAAACAGTTTGCATCCGGTACACGACGAACTTTTTCTGGAGTTTGATGCTTGTGTGTTACGTGTTTTTCATGTTTTTGGTTTGTATCGTCGCATGTTTTGCTGCTCTTGCATCGAAAATCATGGAGGGGGATGTCATGTATGACCATGATTCCAGAGGACAGCAGCAATCGAATTGGTTTATTTTCTGGCCTCCTGGTCTTGCCTATTTGTGTGTTAGGTGAAGGGCAAAGCAGGGGGGCTGTTGGCATCGAGATATTAGCTCGGGGTGAATTTTGGGAGCTGACAGCAGGGGGGCTGTTTGCGTGGATGCTTGATTGTGTTTTCTGTCGTTTCTTGGACAACAGCGACGGTATCGATTAACGGGTGCGCGCTGTTTAGGATTGGCCCTTGAACACTATGTTGGAGGAAGGATTTGACATGTTTTGACGATTAATGGTTGGGACTGTTGTGCTTTCCAAATTCTCGTTTTGATCGGTCAAGAAGTTGAGTTTTTGTTTTGTTTGATGAGGATTTGGTGCCCACTCTTTTGACGTTTTTTCCAGAAGTGCCCGTCTTCGTTCTGACGCTTTTGTGATGTAGCACACATAATTTTGTCGGGTGCTCTTCTGAAGGTGATTCTTTTGTGTCAACCGTTTGATTTTATTTCCAGAGACGAACGCGTTGGATTCGTGAATAAACTGATGGAAACGCTTTGTGTTGAATGCGTGGCCAGTTTTGTTGAACAAGTTTCTCGAGAGGTGTTTTTCTGTTTTGTTTGGCTGATTACGCGTGAAGGGTTGCAAGATTGTACATCGTATCAAGTAGGAGGTCTGCTTGTGGTACTTGGATATGAGTCCAATCTGTGCATCCTCTGTGGGGATACGCGTATGAGAACTATGTGTTTGATGGGTATGTATGCGATTGAGGTCCTGGTGCGGGGCCTCCGGGTGAGCACCAGCCGTGTGCTCCCGGCACTTGTCTGAGGGGCTTCCGTGTTGGTGACCAGCTTGCCTGAGGGGCATGCGTGACGGATATACAACACATGGTCCTTTTTCATCTGCTGTTCCTGGGATATCATACCACCCAGTCTCAACACCACACATCGCTGAGGGCGGCAGTGCACCCTAACAGTCTATGTACACTTCTTCTGCGTGCAGCAAACACCAACACACGCAAGCACACGCAATCAATGGAGAGGGAGAAAGCAGCCGTAACACGAAAAAATGTGTATCAATATCCGTATTCCTCCTGTAAATTGCTTGATGCACAACACTACCATTGGTTGATAGAGGGTTAGTAGTTGGGTGGTCGATTCCTCTCCGGGGCTCGCTCCCCATTCCGCATTCCGGTTAGACCTAAAGAGTCACCGACAAACCAAAGTAGACCGCAGCGGGTACCTTTGACGTCATAGAGCCTCACCCAGCGTACAGGTAGACCTGAGCGTGCAACAACCTTACCTTCAGCACTCTGATGTACGCGGGACGGACCACAGCCAGAGGGTCGTTTTAAGTTAGTTGTATGCATACATACGTGGTTAGACTACAGACCGCTCGTCGGCTCGTAATATTCTGCATAGGCTACATCTATGCTCGTGCACCCATGTTGTGCTGTTGTTGTTGTGATGCATATTCTATAGATACACACATAAATCACGGAGATATCCAGTGCATAGCGGGAAATAAATCGGCAATGAAGTTACGGCGCACATGATCGCATGCTTGATAATCACCACTGCGTTGTACACGGCTGGTGAGTGTGAATGGCCTGAGCGGGCCGGACCGCGCGCGCGAGAGTTGGGATCCACTACATCATCCAACATCATCATCACTTACTTGGTTCCGTATGACCGAGCGAAAAGTTCCAATAATTGTTGCGGTACTGGCGGCATTTCCGACGATAGAACAAGGTCGGCCTCGTCGATCTTTGCCCGAGCAACATGTGAGATCGAGAGGTGCAGGCAAGAAGGTGCTAGCCGTTGCGGCCACCGAGGCTGAACTTGGCTTTCAACCAGTAGCAGCGTGCTTCCAACATTCAACACAGCAGTCAGTGCTCGCATGTCGAAATGTTAATATTCTGTCTGGTCCCCCGCTGCAGCTAAATAAGTAGGGGACTCATAGTAGCACGCAGCTCTACACAGATACACTGCTAGCAGTGCTGCGAAAGGGTGCCCGTTACTCGCGCCCGTTGGATCAAATAAATATAGTCTAGGCTAGAGAGGACCAGATCAAATATCGGGCCAAATACAAAAGGAACCGAACAGGGAACGACTCGCCTTGTTCTTGCTTCAGATCTCGACCTCTCGTCCGTGTTGCCAAGACGGCGACACGGTTCAGACGGGTATAGAAACCGAGAGGCTTTGTCGCGCAAGCCAGAGATCATGCGGTGCATTGTGATACATCAGCAGTACTGGACCTTTGGCCTGCTGTGTGTGGTTCGGCTGCCCACATGATGCTGCTCCTGCTGCTCTGTTCTTTGGTGAAATTCTCGAAAATTGACGGGACTGTCACGGTTCCCTCGATTCCGACGGGTGATTGTAAACATTCGATGACAGCTATCACACCAGCACAGCAGTCTTGCTCCAAGTCAACAGAAGTTAGAATAATGTCGTTTATGAGTGTCGGCTGCTGCCGACGACAACAACCAAACTCGGAATGCCCGGAACTCAGAAGCCAATCAACACACATATACCCAGGCACCAGACCAACCCAGCCATCCACAGGATCCGAGATAGCTGCTGTTCACATCGGCTTGAAGCTCCCGGCCTGCGTGACATGTCCTCTAAACTGCTATCTTTATGCGGGTGTGTTGACGATGGTGCCGCTTCGAAGGAAAGTGAACAACAGATCGAGTACAACTGCTTCTGCTTCCCGGTAGGGGAAGTGGAATCTGTTTTCATCCCAGACGGTGAGCAAGAAGACGAAGAGGAGGCAGAGAGCCTCAGACTTAATAGACTATGCACCCGGTGCAATGTAAAGCAGCCCGTTCCTGACGGCATTTTTCGGCACGAACGAGGGTGGGTAGTATTGCCATTCCAACGTCGCTCTGCTTCTGTTTTATTATTCACCTCCCGGGTGGATCGCCTCCCTCCCCTCGTCGTGCTCTGTTGTGTGTGTCTCGGATGGGCAAGAAGTCGCGTCATACAACAATACACGTCTCCTTGGTTGTCAGCTCAGCAACATCCGGCTCTTTCGTTTCGGACTTTCGGGCTACCTACCAGTGAATTGGCGGTCCCGACCTCCAATCGTTTCTACTGTCGTAAATCCAGGTCCTTCGCTCACAGTACCATCGCCATACGCGGGACGAGGGGATCGGTCCATCATTGCGTGTCATCGACGCGATGAGTACATATCATAACAGTCGACAACTCAAAACCCCGAAGAATTTTATAGGACAACCCGAGCTTTGACCTGCGACAGCGACGCACCCGTCCTACACTGCCCCCCCCGCGGTCTTGAGTGTGCAAAACCCTAAAACACCTCGACCACTCTCGATCAGCAGGGGAGTGTGCATTGCCAGGTGTCTCTCCCCCCACAAGCTGCTAGAAGGAGCAGCCGAGATCTAGAGCAAAATTCCAGCTCTTTTTATCCTGCTGCGCGCCTTGTTTGTTGGTGTTCGTGTATGGTTAGAGACAACACTGACGACGCGTACTACTACTCCTGACTGCCACTTTATCTGGAATCCTCGCAACCAAGGCGAAGCGAGCCGGGCGTCACCACACACTTCTGCATGCCACACCCAGAGGCAGGGTCATGGCGGATCTGCCCAAGGAGCGGACGAAGGGATACAACACGTACAGTAGTGACAAGCAAAAAAGTGAGATTAGAGCGCTGCTGTACCGGGGAACATACTTTTTGCTCAGAGAGTGGTAGACTACAGTACAGGTCCATCCCTGTTTAGTGCCGGTTGATTAGTGTGTGTGTGTGTGTGTTTACGTCCTATTTATTATGGCCACAGTCCCCCCATTGTTCGTGGTGAGACGTGTCCTACACTTTTCAGCGTATGTAGAGTACTACACTTCTCAGTGTATTTTTTCGTACAACTACAACCATCCAGGGTCACACAGGAGGAGGGGGTAAACACCAGGGCGTTTTTCTTCTTTTTTCTTTTCATGCCCCACCTTCCTCTCCTGCGGTGCGTGCTGAATTTTATTTTTATCGCGAGAAGGGTCCAGCCGTCCCTTTCCCTCGTCAACGGTGCTAACGTCGAAGTTTGGTACTCACGAGAGCTTTTAAGCTATATTTCGCTTTCACCCGCAAATTCGTAAATATTTCACCCCATGGGGATTCGAACTCACGACATACATCTGCGACTAGCGGATTACGAGGATACATGTACCACTAGACCACCGGGGCGACCGGTAATAGTGCCGGTTGCCGGTATAGTGCCGGTGTTTTCGGCTCGCACACGCTGGAGTATCAAGTCGTTCTGTACTTTGAATAGTGCCGGTGAAACTTTTGCGCACACCCCGGCACAAAAGAGGGACCTCTACTGTATCCGTTTTTTCTTATTCTCTGCATGCTGTAAAGGATATGCACGCGCGGTGCAATCTGGGAGACCCGTGAAGACGAACTCACTTGTTATGAAGTCGTGTGGAACAGCGATAGCTGTTGCCAAGGGAACGTACATGACTGACTAGGATGGGGCCAGGATCAGCTTCGAAAGCAGGGGCTACTAGATCATGTCCCCTGTTTTGTCCTTCCGTGGGGAGTTGCATCTCCCGCACTTTTCTCTGGGCATTAGCCCGCACTATCGTTTGTACTTTCCTACACATTCAAATCCCATAACACTAGCCCACCCTGGAGATTCTCATACGCAGATACGTCAATCTCGGAACTTGACAATTACTTAACAAATCCCACATGAGAGTATCGAGGATGCGGAGCTCCAAAACACCACAATTCACCCTCCCACACCTCTCACTCGATGAATCACAAGACCATCGTTTGACCTATAAAAAGAAGGTACAGGAAGTAATAAACTGGGGCTAACAGAGAGAAAAACAACGGGAGAGCCGCAACAGGCTAAGGCTACAAATACCATAACAATGCAGTCTTCTGCGCGCTTGTATCGAAACAAGCCCGAACTTTGACTTGAGCGCCTGTTTCTGAGCCTGGTTCAGAACCCCAACACTAAGACCTACATGTATTGTGGCCATTTGTAGCCCACGAGTGGAACGAAGAATCCCCTTCGCCAAAAACAGAGGGTTCTTAAGCGGGTGCTAGCTGTACAGCAGTTGTTGTTGTTGTTGTTGTTGTTGTCTTCACATTAAAAACCATCCCGGTCTCTCTATCCAGTGCCTCCTTCTGTCTCAACCTCTCCGTACTAATCCAGCACTTGACTCGGTCAATTTCCGTGGTCACAGGCTAACGTACCTAGAAAAGGTATCAGTACCTCATATGAATACGTATGAATAGTATACGCACGGCTGTCGTACGTTAGCACGCCACGTCGTGGGGAGAGAGGTATCGCGACAGGAGCCCCCTGGAGAGATATCCTGAGCAACACCCCACAGTTCCGATTGCAGCTCCGATTGCTTCCTTCGTCTGCGGAAAGATTGCAAACGTGCATGAATGTCTCGTTGCTGTATCATCCTTGCCGCCGTGATTCGTGTGTGCGTGTGTGTGTGCCTTCGATTCTTTTTTGAAGATAGGCATGGATTCATTGTGTCATAGTAAGAAGAAGAAAAGCGAAACTCACAGCAGTGACGCGGGTTGTACAAGATTTCCATGAACGGGGGATAGAAATGAAGAGTTGGCCTTGTGTTGTAGGTGAGAAAGGATTGAAACATGTTCGGGGCACAAAACCATCAGGGTGTACTGCCGATCGCGACGCCACTTTGCCCACCGTGGTAAATGACAGACACACATTTATTTTCCCAACTTTTTATTCCACCAGGAACAAGCGGGCCCACCGTTACGGAAGTACTTAAGGTCTACTTCGAAGTTCGTTCAGAAACAGAAGCTCAAATTTTCAAGAAAAACGAGACAAAAGGCGCAGCACATCGATGGATCCTAGACTAACCTCTGTCATACAAGAATCTGTGCTCGACAGCAGCCGTGGCGATGTAACAAGAAACGGAGCCTCGTCTCGACTTTGAGGGGTCTTATCTCTAAGCCCTTTTCTGAAAGAAGCTGGGTTTGACTCACAGCTGCTATTTCTACCCCTTGCGTCGGCGACTGCCGTGACTATCTCGCTGAGCTTTGTGTTCGCTCAACGCTTGCCGGAAAATATCCGAGGCACGTGCAACAGCAGCCGTGGCTCCGATACAAGATGATACCTCACGAAAGGGGCCTCCGACACAGGCGGGTCGAAATCGGTTTGTCGCGGACTCGACCCGCTGTAAGTCCCTGTTCCGGTAGTACTAGAGGGGGCTCCGACATAAGACGGTCGAGGGCCTTTGTCACACGCCACCCATTCATATCGCAGCGACAGCTGTACCGCACCGCCACTCAAGAAGACAGCGCGGAACGTGCGAGGATGGGGTGCAGGGCAAGGGAGGAGATATGACTACGCTACGTTGACAGCGATTTGTTGCTGCGTCAAGGCGGGGTAAATTCATGTAAACGCATGCCGTAATAGTCGCGATATCGTTGAGGGGGGCACAAGAGAAGGAAGGTGCCAGCAACGTTGACAGACACACAGTCTTCTTTTGGGCACCGGCACACTATCGGACATTCAGTGTGGGGGGGTTGTACTCATAGTCGTGCATGCCGTAGTCGTGAGACCATTGACCTCGCATCCCTACAAAGCCGGGACGGAGCACGCCGGGTTCTCACCGGACCAGGCTCTCACATCACCAAGCGCGAAGCGCCGTGAGATATTCTGCGAGTCGCATGAAAGGTGCGCTGCATCCTGCTAAGGGTGTTCGGCATCTTGTGCTTGCTTCCTTGCGTACGGATGTCAGCTGCGTACGAATTAATTTATTTCTGGTGCTTTCACTTCCAGAGACAGTTGTTAGCACTGTGTAACTGCCTCGAGGGTACTTGACCAATTTAAGACAACGTGGTGCGATCATCCCCCTTGCGCGGAGTGAGGGTTATCGACCCCGCACAACATGATCTACTCGACCACCAATATGGATACCGCCAAAAAAGAACAGAGGTAAAAAAAAAGAAACAGACGGTAACCTGGTTGCCGAGTTCACGAAGTGTTTGGCTTGTTTTACAACGTGGTTGCCAAGCGACGAAAACCCAACCCCGATGGCAAACACCGGGGGGGGAAGCTTGTTTTACAACGTCGTTGCCAAACGACGAAAAGCCAACCCCGATGGCAAACACCCGAGGGGGGGGGGGGG